GGACAACAGAGACCCCCAGCATCAGGACCGGTTCCACCGGAGACCACCCCACTGCATGCAGACAGCCAAAGTTGGAGCAGAAACAGGCTTTTTTAGCATTTCTTTTCTGAACATGCGAGGAGCTTCCAGGGCAGCAGAAACCGAGGACAACAGCACAGACCAGAACCAGAACCAAACCACAGCAGACTTCTGAGCCATTCCAGAGAATCAGAGACTTTATCCACTCATTTCTCAGCTTTTGAAATCAATCTTGGGGGGAAGCAGCAGCCTCCCAGATGCGGGTATATAGGGGGGCGGGGGGTCTGACTCACCCTTTTCTGGTCCTCCAGTCCGTGCAGCACAGCCTTCCTCCTCTGGGGCGGATGCAGGCTAGCCTCTGCTCCTGCCTCCATCTTCCCATCAGCGGAGCCCCAAATCCTGCCTTCTCCTGGAGAAATCCCTGCTCACAGAGCCTCGCCCTCCCCCCCCACCCCCAGTCCTTTCCGGTCAATTCCCGGCTGTGGTGCATCAAAGTCTATCCAAACGCAGGAGGGGGAAGAAAAAAAAAAAAGAGGAAAACTCTCTGTCCGTCAGCTTTGCTCCATGGGAAACATGTCTCAGGCGGGTCTCCGGGGCGGGGGGGGGGGGTCAGAGCTCAGGCGCGTGCTGCGCCTCAGTCCCGTCGGCTCGTGCTCTCCGGTCGTGGCCTGAAGAGGAGCTCCCGGGGCCGGCCCTCAGTCCCGGAGACATCCCGGCCCCCGCCGGGAGGCTAAGACCAGCTCGCGCCCGTCTTCCTCCGGAGACCGAATCCGTCTGGAACGAACGTGGGCACGTTTAAAAAAAATAAAAATAACCAGAGTTGTTCAAGAGTTAAAAGCTAAAGCAAAAAAAAAACGGGACACGTTGTCTGCAAGGTGCAGTCAGACCCACCTAGTCATCCAAACTTTACGCCTCACGCGCATCCGGATCCCGCAGAAAGCGGAGGCTGGATGGAGGCACGCGCCGTGAAACCCTGCGCGAGACAGGCCGAGCTGATTGATGCAGGTGCGAGGAACTAAAGGGAAAAGCTGCTTTTTCCCCCCAACGCGGCTGGGACTCCTCGGAGGTCCGGAAGGTCTCGCGCGCCGCGGCGTCTTTGAACCGGCGTCCCGGTCGAGCCTCGACGCGCGCGCGGACAAACGCCCACTCTGGAGTGTCGTTGCGGAGCGCGTGGGCTGCGGAAGCTCCGAGCCGCTGCAGCATCCCTGCCGGGGGCGCAGGGAGCTCCTCTCCGGCGGGCGGATGGAGGGAGGGGGGTGGGTGGAGGGAGGGATGGCTGCGCGTGCGGGCGGGACGGAGGACTCTCACCCGTTCCCTCCCGGTGCCGACCGAGCTCTGCCTCGTGCGTGACGCTCGCGGCTCCTCTGGCTTCACGCGGAGCAGCCCGCTGTTGCCTTCGAGGGCTGTCAGTAATCTCACCCCGCGCGCGCGGGGCGGTCGATAACGTCGACGTATAAACACCGTCCTCCCCTTTAAGAAAAACATCCGTTAAAACCCCTCAACTTTCTATTTTATCGGTTTTATTAGACACTATCAGAATTTGCTAGCATTTGTAGCCCTTAAATGGATTTTCTCAGGTGTGGCGCCAAGAGAGGGTGGCTCAACGGAGGAGAGGAAACACGACGTTAGCTAAAAAAAAATGACTGAAAAGCTTTTAATTCGACTGTTTTAATCCCTGTGGGGCGGACAGGTTACGGATTTAGTGGGTGGACATGACATATCAGGTCACCTGTGACGTTTTTGTTGAGACAGAATCGCCATTGCTTTATGCACCCAGAAAAAAAATCGCTAGCTTGAAATGCTTTTCTTTTCCAAACTTTATCTGACAAGGAGTTTAGTCCAAACCCTTCAAAAGAGATACTCACAGGCCTGTATGTTCTCTTAACTGTCATTTTCTTTTACTGCTTCACATTCCACAAAACAAGCCGCTGCCACATCAACCAGGTTCACTGTTCTTCATAAATGTTCCTGATAACAGCCACTCGTGTCTTCATGCTGGTCACGTGATCCGTTTTAATTAACACAATTCATCACAGCTGTGAACAGCCGCTCTTTCCTGAGTCTCATCCTAAAAATCATCCCTTTTTTTGGGGTTAGTGTTTTATTTGGAGGGCTCTTCTATTAGTTGGTCGCACTGAGAAGTGTTTTTTTTGTTTTGTTTCTATAAGATGATCTTTCCAAACTTTTCCAGTGACGATGGGGAAAAGGTTTTCTAATTTACGAGGAGTACCTTGAGGCGGCATCAGGGTCCCGCTTGCTCTCTGACGTTACGTCACGACGCGATTCGCCGCTTTCCGTCAACATCCTTGAAGGCGCCCTCGGGGTTTCCATGGTAACCGGTCATTTGGAGTGTCCTACCTCCATCTAGTGGCGAAAAGGAAGCACGTCGACGAGACGGACTTTGAGCCACCGAAAGGGAAATTTTTTATGGCTTTTTCGGCCAGTTTACTGATTACTGAATAATAAAAACGACACCCTAAAAAACATTATATCATAATTATGTGCTAATTATTTGATCTTAAATGATTAAATGACAAAAACTACAAAAAAATCACATCATAATTGATCAGTATGATTAATAAAGTTATCAATATTGACTCTAAAAGGTGGCTTGAATGCAGGTGATAGGGAATTCAGGGGTCTGGGGGGGGGGGGCAGCTAACAGCTACTGGTTTAAGGAATGGACAGAGCTGATGGTGGCCTAATATGAGGCCACCCTAACCTTCAGTAGTAGAGGGGGAGAAGAGCTGTTCAATTAGGTTTGGGGGTATTTTTTAATTATATAGAAGACATGACAGGATAAATGTGATATATGTGATATTCCTATCCCAACTTGATTTGCTCAGAGGGCTGTTTATTTGATATATTCAAAAGGGACAGAAAACTGATGTATGTCTATAATTTTCTTGATTTCATTGATTTGTATCTGTCTGCCAAAATGACTAATAAAAAAATGTTTTAAAAAGACCTTGAAAGGGTCCAATTTCTTTAACTGGGAGTTCAGGTGTCTCTCCTTCTTCAGGACTTTTATTTTGGGATAAGAAAATAACTACTGTTTCATATAACTAAATTACCTAATATTCAGTTTGAACCATGCACGTTTATTTTCCCCCTATGTCTACATAGAAGATTTGTGTGCGTTTTCTTGCTCTTCTGCTAGAGCAAATGATCTAAAATCTCACCTCAAAATAAGTAACTCCTGTCAGTTATAGAGTCAGGATAACCCTAATTTCTGCTCGTTTTCAGTGGGATTCAGCTTATGGAAAGCAGCATTTTTTTGCATAAACAGACAAGGAATTCACCAAAAGAAGAATCAAATAGAACAGACCCCATACAAGTGGATCACATAATCCTGTTATTTTAATATCAGAAAGCATCTCCAGAAGACAGAAGAAATAAGAAGGTTCACTGAGGCTTTGTCTGATCATTTCTTTTCATTTGGTCGTTCATTTACTTCTCTCTTTAATAGAATCTTAGTGGAGAAAACTTGTGTTTCTACTAAATGTCCCCATGATCAAACAAATCCACCATGTCCGCTTTAATCTGCTCTGGTCTGCAAAGCTAACAAATTCATTCATTTTTGCAGATTGCACACATGTGTAAATGGCTGACTTCTCCTCAGGGTTCCCAAAGGCCCAGAAGTCATTAAGTTCTCTGTTATTTGATTAACCTCAACACAGAATATTGAGAGGTTTCTATATCACCTCTGAGGCTTTCTGGGACAATATGTGCTTATTGTTTTAGCGATTAAGTTCATCCTGTGTTCACCTGGTGAACATTTAGATATGACATTTAAACATTTAAATATGAATATAAAATATCATTAGATTAAATTAAATGAAAAATAACTTTATATATCGATAAAAATATGATTTGGTAAAATAATGTTGACTTGGATTTGCTATAGTTTGATTAATTTGTTTTTGTTGTCATTTCATCAAATCTAAGTGATTTGTTGTTGTGGTTTTGCTTGATATGTGGACGATTTTTGTGTGAGGAGGATTTTGTGACTTTTTGCATGAAATTTAGAGGATTTTGTGACTTTTTCCATAGCATTTAGAGGATTTTGTGTCTTTTTGCATGAAATTTAGAGGATTTTGTGACTTTTTCCATAGCATTTAGAGGATTTTGTGTCTTTTTGCATGAAATTTACAGGATTTTGTGACTTTTTCCATGACATTAAGAGGATTTTTTTACTTTTTGCATGACGCATAGAGGAATTTGTGACTTTTTGCATGAAGTTTAGAGGATTTTGTGACTTTTCCCATGACATTTAGAGGATTTGATGACTTTTTGCATGACATTTAGAGGATTTTGTAAGATTTTCCGTGGCATTTAAAAGATTTTGTGTCTATTTGCATGAAATTTAGAGGATTTTGTGACTTTTTGCATGAAGTTTAGAGGAATTTCTGACTTTTTGCATGGAGTTTAGAGGATTTTGTGTCTTTTTTGCATGAAATTGAGAGGATTTTTGGTGTGTTTTTGCATTGAATTTGGGGAATGTGTCTATTTATTTAAACATATTCCGAGCGTCCCGTTTCTTTGGTTCAACATTTCACGTGGGCTCTTGTTTGTTTCCTCCTCTGTGTCTTTCTGTGCTAACTTTGTTTCTCTTAATTGTAACTTTTTGGTGGACTTTGTATCCAAAGCCAGGTCTCTGAGGCCATTTGATGTCTGGTCTTTCCTGTCTGATTTGGTTGTGTTCTTGACACTGTTTACACGCACTGTGTGTTGTCATTGGGGTCATGTATGTCTATGCATGATCCATCTCTCTTTTCTGCATTCTTTTCTACTCTGCTCTTTCTTTTACATCTCCTTACGTGTCCTCCAAAGACACCATGAATAATACCGATATGCAACCTGGGACTTGTGACAATGCGGAATTTAGATGTTTTAAAATAAATAAATAAATAAATGAATAAATCAGCTTTAAAATGTCATGAACATTGGGAGTGTCACATGATTAGTGGGGGCCATTGTCTCTCTGATTGGGGCCCGCCTCCCACTCCCTCCCCTTGGGGAGGAAGTGTGGCTGGACGTGAGCGCGCATGCGCGCACAGGGCGGGTCAAACGCTGCTGGTCATCCCCACAACTTGGCAAACTTTTACGCAACTCTGGCAAACTTGTTGTTTTTTTTCCTGAGGAGTTGTTGCTCCACATTAAATTGGGGGAAGCGGGTGAGCCCAGAACTGCTCCCCGGCCGCGGATGTTCGTCTTTTGGCCTCTAGATAGCCGGAAAATCGCGGTCTTCTGTCAAGATTTGTTCGTAGCCCGGGCTGTGATATTCTGGAGATAACGTCCCGCGAGTATGGAACTCCTTCAGTGAAAAAACAGAGGCTTGTTTTGGCGGATTTTGGGTGAGTAGCCCGGGGTTTCTGACGTTAGGGGCTCGTTTAGGAGTTGGGTAAAACAGGAAGAGTGTTTTAGGAGCTGTTCCCGGTTTGTGTGTGTGTGTGTGCTGGTTGCTGTGTTACCGCCATGGCGCCGTGTGCTAACCGGCTCATTTATCATTTAGTTTCCCCTCATTTCTCGGTGTTTATGCGACAGTGGCTGGCGGCTCAAATGTCAGTGGACTGACCGGTTTTGCTCCGTTTCCTCTCGGGCGAAGCGTTGACCACTTTGGGTCAACGGCCAGTGTTTTTCCCTCCCTTTCGGGCCACCCGGGGTTTGTACCCGTTCCCGGGGAGCCTTAGCCCGAGCCGGGTGGCCTGACTTTAGCCCCGCAGATAGTTCGAAATGCTCGGCTCGAGCCGGTTCTGGTGGCCGGGCGAGCGTCCCGCGCCAGGATTTCAAAAACAGTTTACCTGCGCGGGACTCTCTTCACTTCCGTTGCGCTGTCTCGCGCCGCGCTCTGATTGGCCGCTTCGGCCCAAAAGGGGCGGGACCTTTTCGTCCGTTGGGTCCAGCGATTCGATGGAACGTACGTCAGTTACCGCCAATACTACTCCGGTATTTTGATTTGTTTAAGCGATCTGTTTCTTTTTGTAATATTACCGCGAATTCAATTTGAGGAGGAATGTATATTTGTAGGAAACTAAACATATATCTATATACGCCGCCCATTGGATTATTTACTCTTCTTCACGCTGCTTTGAAATGTCGTTAACCGACCACCAAAAAGCGGTAAGACTGGAAATGTGACATATTTCTTAATGAAATTATGACTTTGATGTAAATCGGTGAGAAATGTGAGCACCCCTTTATTTTTCCTTTTAAACAAACCGTTAAAAGAAATTGATAACACTATATTTCTTGATATATTAAATGTGGAGCCTTTTACTGTCAAAGCTGGCCCACAAATTTCATCCTTAAGTTAGTAGGTAAAACAAAAGGGTTCTCAGATATAACTGTAATCTATTATTTCCTTTTTTATTTTATTTTTTAGGATGATCTCGGTGTTGCACGTGCTGTTCTGATAACTACCTCAAAGACTTCAGCTGGTTTGTGGAGTTTCAGCTGAGAATGGGTCCCCACGCCACGCCGAAAAAGGGGAGGGAGGCGCACGCCGTTGATCCCTGGACCCCCACCTCCAACCTCAAAATGCTCATCAGCGCTGCTAGTCCGGAGATCAGGAACCGGGAAAAGGAGCTGTGCATGGAGAGCGATGAGCGGGACGGACTGGACCCGACGCAGGTGGCCGCACGCCGTCCGGCCAGGAGTCCTGATGAGATTTTTTTGGGGGGAGAGACCTTTTTCACTCATCTGACGTTTTCTTCTAGGACTCTGAAAATGGAGAAGAGTCAGAGAAAATGACCAGCAGAAAGGACAAGAGTCTGGGATTGCTCTGTCATAAATTCCTCGCCCGGTACCCGGATTACCCAGATTCGGCCCTCAGGGACATCTGCCTGGACGACGTGGCCACCGAGCTCAGTAGGTGTCCGGTGGGGTCTCCTTCGGGGGGGTTTGAGGGTCGGCCGTTGACGGTTTGCGGTTAACCTTGCAGGCGTGGAGCGCCGGCGCATCTACGACATCATGAACGTGCTGGAGAGCCTGCACATGGTCAGCCGCTCGGCCAAGAACCGCTACACCTGGCACGGCCGCACCAAGCTGGCCGAGACGCTGGCCATCCTGAGGCAGGTGGGCGAGGAGCACAGGTACGGCCAGCAGATGCTGCAGATCCGCCAGCGGATCCTGGACAAGGAGCTGGACTTTGACGGGGAGGAGAAGGAGAACGAGCCGGCGGGCGACCCGGAGAGCGGCGAGCCGGGTCAGAAAGAGCTCTTCTTCGTGGAGCTTCCTGGAGTGGAGTTCAAAGCAGGTGAGACGGCAAAAGAGTGTCAAGTTAACATTGTTTTGACATGAAACGTCCCTTTTCCCGTAATTGATGTAGGTTTTCCTTACCTTTTTTGTCGTTTCCAGCCTCTGTGAACAGCAGGAAAGACAAGTCTCTGCGGGTGATGAGCCAGAAGTTTGTCATGCTCTTTCTGGTGTCAAATCCACGCGTGGTCAGCCTGGACGTGGCCGCCAAGATCCTTATAGGAGAGGACCACGTGGCAGACCAGGACAAGAGCAAGTTCAAGAGTGAGTCCGGAGCCTCTGGTTCTGTCTCCAGTCTGGAGCCTGGAGCCCCTCTGTTTATTGGCAGTCTTTGGAAAATGTGGAGCAGAGGGTCGTGCTGTTCGATTAAGTTGCAAAAAGACACAAAAATACTCTAAATTTCACGCAAAAGACACCAAATCATTTAGATTTCACACAAAAAGACACAAAATCATCCAAATGTCACGCGAATAGTCACAGTCATTTAGCTTTCACACGAAAAGA